GCTCTCTCTCGCTCTCTCGCTCTCTCTCGCTCTCTCTCTCTCCCTCTCCCTCCCCCCCCCCCCCCCGTATGTATGTATGTAAGCATTTAATTTTCATTTTCATCTCTCGTTCCTGTTGGCGTGCTGATAGCGCGAGGCATGCAGACCGCGACCTAAGCAGACAGGTGCCGGGCCCGGATTAACAGGCACTCGTAGAAGCTGTTTATATAATCAGGTCGCGATTGTGAAGGTAAACAAAGTAAAGTTAAAGAAGTTGTTGGAAGAAGGAGACGTCATTGAGACAGGGAGAAGAAGAGCTAAATTAGAAAAGGGATACATGAAGAAGAAGAAAAAAAAAAGGAAAGGAAGAAAGGAAAAGCTGAAGAAAAAAAAAAGAATCAGAGGGAAATGTTTAGAAAAGGAGAGAGAAATTAATACAGGAGATAAAGGAGATGCAGATAGATCGGGGAAGGAAGAGGAATTAGGGGGGGGGGAGGAAGAGGTATTGGGGAGGGAGGGGCGGAGGATGCATTGGGGAGGGAGGGAAGGAAGAGGAATTAGGGGGGGGGAAGAGGTATTGGGGAGGGAGGGGCGGAGGATGCATTGGGGAGGGAGGGAAGGAAGAGGAATTAGGGGGGGAGGGGAGGAAGAGGTATTGGGGAGGGAGGGGAGGAAGAGGTATTGGGGATAGAGGGGAGGAGGAGGAGCAATTAGGGGGGGAGCGGAGGAAGAGGAAGGGAGAGAGAAGAGAAGAGACAGGATGGTCGAGAGGAGACGAGAAGAACGAAAAGAAAGGAGAACCGAGACAACTCCAGAATAACGCAGAAGACGCGAAGGCAGGAACATGAAAGACGACTGGAGAAGAGGAGAGCCGGAAGACGGCGAGTCGCGAGCAAGGATGCGGAGGAAGGCGCCCTCCGAGGGGGTGGGGGGGGGAGGGTTTGAGTGCCAGCAGGTAAAGAAGGGTTTAAGGGTCGAGGGAGGGGGGGGGGAGGCACAGTCGCATAACACGTAGGTGGACGAACAATGGAGGTCCGTGTCTCTGATTTGTTCTCTCTCTCTCTCTCTCTCTCTCTCTCTCTCTCTCTCTCTCTCTCTCTCTCTCTCTCTCTCTCTCTCTCTCTCTCTCTCCCCCCTCCCTCCCTCCCTCCCTCCCTCCCTCCCTCCCTCCCTCCCTCTTGCTCCCTCTCTCTTGCTCCCTCTCTCTTGTCTCTTTTTCTTTCTCTCTTTCTCTTGCTTCCTCACTCTCTTTCTAACTCTCTCTTTCTCTCCTCCTCCTCCTCCTCCTCATCCTCATCCTCCTCCTCCTCCTCCTCCTCCATCTCTTCCCCTCTTCCCCTTCGAACCTCTTCCTCCTCTTCCTCTTCGTCTTATTCCTTCTCTATCCATCTCCTCATCCTCTTCCTCCTCCTCCTCTTCTTCCTCCTCCTCCTCCTCCTTCCTTCCTCCTCCTCCTCCTCCTCCTCCCCCCCCCCCTCCTCCTCCTCCTCCCCCTCCTCCTCCTCCTCCTCCTCCTCCTCCTCCTCCTCCTCCTCCTCCTCCTCCTCCTCCTCCCCCTCCTCCCCCTCCTCCTCCTCCTCCTCCTCCCCCCTCCCCCCTCCCAGCCTCCCATACCCGTTGACCTTCTGGCCGACTTCAACCCTCGCATTTATCTGCGACTTACAGGTGCTTCTTCTATTTGTCTGGCTCTTTCCTTTTGTCTCCCTTCCCCTTATCACCCTCCTCCCCCCCCTCCCCCCCCCTCTCTCTCTCTCTCTCTCTCTCTCTCTCTCTCTCTCTCTCTCTCTCTCTCTCTCTCTCTCTCTCTCTCTCTCTCTCTCTCTCCTCTCTCTCTCACACCTCCTTTCCTCCTTGTCCCTCTCTCTCTCTTTCGCTCTCCCCCCTCCCTTTTCCTCTCTCCCTTTTTCCCTCTCCCCCCCTCCCTGTCCCTCTCTCCGTCTTTTATTCATTCTTCTGATCTTTCTCTGTTTTGTTGTCTACCTCCGCTGCCTTACTCTTTAGACCAACGCGACTTTTGTTCTTTCTCGTCTTCTCTCGTTTCTTTGCTTTGTCTTTTCTTTATTTTATAATTGCTGCTTAGTCTTGGTCATTTTCCCCTCGATTTCGTTCTTTCCCTTGTCCTGTTCTCCCCTCTTCCACCCCCTCCCCACTCCTCCTCTTCCTTTCCCTCTTCCCCCTCTCCTCTTCCTTTCCTCTTTCCCCATCCTCTTCCTTTCCTTCTTCCCCCCTTCCTTTTTCTTTCCTTCTCCCCCCTCTTCCTCTTCCTTTCCTTCTTCCCCCCTTCCTCTTTCTTTCCCTCTCCCCCTTTCCTCTTCCTCTTCTTCCTCTTCTTCTTCCTCTTCCTCTTCCTCTTCTTCTTCCTCTTCCCCTTCCTCTCGCTCCTTCTTGACCGTTGATTCGACTTTTATGATGAGTCTGAAAGTCTGCCTTGAAGTGGCCGTAAGTGCGGTCGGGAGTCCAGCTCTGCGCCTGCTTCTTTCTGCTTCTTTTTGCTTCTTTCTGCTTCTTTCTGCTTCTTTCTGCTTCTGCTTGGGCTTCCTGCTGCTTCCCTTTCCTTCGCCATTTCTTCGTGATCGCGCCTCGTCTCCTTTTGTCAGCACTATCTTCGTTATTGTTAGCACCGCCGCCATTATAATTATTGCCACTACTACCTCTATTAATGATCAACACGCCGCCACCACTATCACCACCATTACAGCGTATCAACACCATCACCACCACCACCCTTCATCACAACGCGATCTCCACCATCACCACTTCACCACACCAACGCTTGACCTCATCAACACCTCCACTACATCACCACCACGTCACCACCACGGCACCACAATGAGACCACCACGTCACCACCACTTCACCACCACTTCACCACCACTACTACGTCAACCCCACCACCACAATGAGACCACCACGTCACCACCACTTCACCACCACTTCACCACCACTTCACCACCACTTCACCACCACTTCACCACCACTACTACGTCAACCCCACCACCACCGCCAGCTCCAAATCACGCGCGAGCACACGCAAATAAGGGCTTGCGAGCGCCGTTCTCTCCCGGCGCAGTTGTAGGGAGTCGTGACGCTCCTTTAGGGCGGCTCGTGGGATTGGCACTCTGGCACTCGTACGTTGTAGAGGTGGAGTGACACTTTTTTTTAAAGGATTTTACAGCTTCTCGTGTGTAGTTATGCCGTGTTCCCGTGTCGTTTATTTTTTCATGATTGTTGTTCGTTTGTCTTTATTTTCCCTCTCATGAAACAGCGGTTTTATTGTTATTTTCTAGCATGGCATGGCTGTGTGTGTATATATATATATATTTTTTCCCCGAGCGGCCATCGCTTCTTGCGCCGAATGGTTTTATACTCTGTCACCTCGTCAGCGTATGACCCCCCTCCCCTTCCCCCAGCACTTTTGCCGGTAATGTTAGAACGTAAACTCTTGTCAAGGCAAACCGAAACTCTAAATTACTTGGAGTAATGATTGACGATTAAAATGTCGGGGATAAGTCATGCGAACAATATTCGTCAAAAAAAAAAAATAATAAAAAAGAATAAAAAAAATAAACAGTGTGGTATCTAGCTCCATACGCGTGATTTTTTTTCACAATGAATGCCCGTAAATGCCACGATTGTTCATTAATTTGCACACCTCTATGTTTGTGTATAAGTATGTACGTTTACTTGTGTATATAAATTGTATATGTATGGATGTTTATGTATCCTCTCGCATCTCTCCTCTTTGCTCTCCCTCTCTCCTTCATTTTTACCTCTCCCTCTCTCCCTCTCTCCCTCTCTCCCTCTCTCCCTCTCTCCCTCTCCCTCTCCCTCTCCCTCTCCCTCTCCCTCTCCCTCTCCCTCTCCCTCCCTCCCTCCCTCCCTCCCTCCCTCCCTCCCTCTCTCTCTCTCTCTCTCTCTCTCTCTCTCTCTCTCTCTCTCTCTCTCTCTCTCTCTCTCTCTCTCTCTCTCTCTCTCTCCCTCCCTCTCTCTCCCTCTCTCTCCCTCTCCCTCTCCTCCTCCCTCTCCCTCTCTCCCTCTCCCTCTCCCTCTCCCTCTCCCTCTCCCTCCGTTCTTCCATGTCTCTCATTCAGCTCCACCCGATTGGGGTTCATTTTCGGGGCTTTAGTGCCACAGCCGAGCCTTTTCTTGCGCCTGGGAATGCAGTGCCAAAGGCTTGTATTTCCGACGCAGTTTTCTGGCCGTTATGACGGCACTTTGTCTTTTTTATGCCTGGCACTTCTCGTATTTCTGGGAGCAGTAAATGTTATCTGCAGGGCTGGCACCGCGTGATGGAAGCTGTGTTGGCCGTGGCACTGAAAGATGCCTTGATCGGGCATTTCGGTTCGTCTTCTGCGGAGTTAACGAAAGGTTTCATCGGGCATCCTTGGGTGTTTTTGATTCGGGTAAATATTTACCTGGCGGGTTGTACGCACCCTTTCTTACGCTCGCCCATTTTCTCTCCCTCACTGTCTCGTTTGCCCTCCATCGCCCCCCCCTTCATCTCTCAATCTTTCGCTTTCCGTCTTTTTTTTTCCTTCCTTCACCAACTATTCCCTCTCCCATTTCCTCCTCCTCCTCCTCCTCTTCTACTTGCCCTTCCTTTCCTTTCCTTTCCTTTCCTCTCCCTTCCCCTCCCCTCCCATCGCATCCCCTTCCCTCCCTCTGCCCGTCGCCTTCCCCTTCCCCTCCCCCTCACTTTCCCTTCCCCTTCCCCTCCCCCTCACTTTCCCTTCCCCTTCCCCTTCCCCTTCCCCTTCCCCTCCCCCTCCCCCTCACTTCCCTTCCCCTCCCCCTCACTTTCCCTTCCCCTTCCTCTTCCCCTCCCCCCTCCCCCTCACTTTCCCTTCCCCTTCCCCTCCCCTTCACTTTCCCTTCCCCTTCCTCTTCCCCTCCCCCTCATCCGCTAATTAATCCGGGCCTAGTGACGCGGGCGTCCACCCCGCACGGGCGTGATCGCTATGATTGACCTGTTGTGCGCCACCTGCGGGCGTCTCGCTAATTGCATTTCGTTTGTCATCCGCAGGTGAGGCTGCCCCCGACGTTGGGTCGCCGGCAGCTGAGTGGCGACCGGAGCTTTGCACAGGTGTTCGCGAGAG